CTCAATTAAAGGTTGTCCTTTATAAGACTTGCCTTGGTCATGGTGTCTGTTCACTAAGACAATATCCATCCATCCATCCATCTCTCTGTTGTTGACAAGTGATTTGCTTACACATATTTTTGTACACCATGTGTTCATAATGCCCCTAGAGGATGGAAAAGGGCACTAGAGCCTCTGCAGTTGGAGTTATAGGTAGCAATGGTGCTGGGAAGTATACGAGGGTTCTCTGCTATGAGTTCTTAAGTGATAAGCCATCTCCAGCTCCTTGCCTTCTTTTCGGTGTCAGCATATATTTATGAAATTCTCTATGTTCTTTTCTGAATAATTCTCTACATTACCCAGCTTTTTTTTTTTTTTTTCAGTTCAGTAGTGTCTACTTCACTATTTAACTCCAATGACAAGGCCCCAAAACTTGTTTTTCTGTTTCATTATAATGATAAACAGTTTTTACTATTTTCTGCTTTTGTTTCTTTGAACATCTTTTCAAAAGTTTCTTTTTGCTTTATTTTGTTTGTTTATGTGTGCAGTGCTTTGCCTGCAAGTATGCCTACATGCCAGAAGAGGGCGCCAGATCTCATTACAGATAACCATGTGTTTGCTAGGAATTGAACTCAGCCTCAGAACTCTTAACCTCTGAGCCACCTCTCCAGTCTACTTTATTATTTTTGAGATAATAATATAATTAAAACATTTCTCCATTCTCTTCCCTCTCTCCCTCCCTCCCTCCCTCCCTCCCTCCCTCCACAACACCCCCCTTATACCTCTTTCTGCTCTCCTTTGAATTCATGGCCTCTTTTTTTACTGTTATTGAATGCATATATGCATATACATATGGGAACATATTTTTTTCTTTATTGAAAATAGATTTCTTTCTCACAAAATAGATCCTGAGTACTGTTTTCTCTCCCTCTGCTCCCCTAAGTTCCTCCCCACCCCCTCCCATCCAGATCCACAGCCTTTCTGTCTTTCATTAGAAAACAGACTGGCTAAGAGGTAATAATAATATTTCTTCCATCCAACTCTGTGCTTTACTTACTAAGAAACCTTTACATGACTCTGTCATTTTCCTTCTATCTATCAAAATACTACTTATTTGGCACTGGATTTCTTTTCTATTGTGTACCCCTCGCTCCCCATCTCCTCCCAAATCAGCCTCCCCTTTCCTGCCTGTGCAACTTTGTATCCTCCTTTTCTTTTATACCCATCGATTTGTGCTCCCCATATATTTTTGGGTGTTTGACTTTCCACTGGAACGTGCTCAGTCTACCAGTGGGAACACACTTGGAGAAAAACTGACTCCTGTTCTTACAGCATCTATCAAGTGCCAATTCTTTCTCTGCTGAGGGTGAGACTTCATGTCCACCACTTCCCAATTCGTGCTGTGATAAGGTCTGTCTTGGGCTTACATGGGGAATGCACATGCTGCCAAAATCACTGAGTTCATATGTGCAGCTGCCCTGCTGTGTTCAGTGGAGACTGTTTCCCTATATCCACCCACTGCCTCTGGCTCTTAAAGCCTCTCTATCCTTCATCCACATGGCTTCTGAACCTTGGAAAAGGGGCTAGGATATAGATATCCTATTTAGTGTTAGACATTCCATTTACTTCACCTTGGCCAGTTGTGTGTCTTTGTGTTACTCGCCGTCTACTGCAAATAGAAGCTTATGTCTATCTGCTGAGGATCAAGAGAAAGTCTTTAAAACAACTCTTTTTAAAATTAATTTATACTTTTTATCTTCTGTACATTGGTGTCTTGCCTACATGTATGTCTGTGTAAGGGTGTCAGATCTTGGAGTTACAGACAGATGTGAGTTGACCTGTGAATGCTGAGGATTGAACCTGGTTCCTCTGGAAGAGCAGTCACTACTCTTAATCACTCGTCCATCTCTTCAGCCTCAGGAGCAGTCTTAACCTATGTGTATAATAATAAGCCATTCAAAGTCCATTTAATTGTATGTCCAGTTAGCAGAATAATAGTAATGGGTCCTCCCATAGGGCCTAATACCATAGCCATAGGTTTTTGATCCAACAATGGTACCCGATATGGGTCTCATCTTATGGCACAAGACTTATGTCCAATCAGAAAGTGGTTGGTTACTCCAGTGATGCTTGTGCCACTGTTACACATGTGAGCTGTCTTCCAAAGTCAGGTAACTCATAGGGTTCACATGTGGGTAAGATTGATGATTGCTTTTCTCCTTCAGTAGTGCGTATAGTATAGCACCTTCTAACACCATGAAAGCTACCCCTAGGGATGATACTTCCAGATCGGTATCAGCTTATTATTTCCATGTTTTGTGACTGAAATACAGAATTTCTTCACCAATTCAGTTCTACTTAGAGAATAACCAATAGCATCAGCAAGAGTTTATAATGTATAGCAGTCTATGACACCTCAATGGTTGGCAATACCAAGAGAGGTAACTAATTCATGGCGGGGGGATTCTAATGTGTTTGCCTAGGGCATTGCTGTCAATCCATCATCAGGCAGCTCCATTTTGATTCTGTGTGTGTGTGTGTGTGTGTACATGCACATGCATTAGGAAACTTGTACAGTAAATAGTATGTTCACACATTATTTTTTAAAGGTCTTCAGTGCTATATATTTCTCCCCACATCCCTTTCTCTAGCTTGTGATCCAAATCCCCACACCTTTTAACCCTTTCTGTTCCATTAATCCCTTTAAGCCTTGATACCATTCCCTTTCATTTCTCCTTCTTTGAAATCTTCCCCGCCCTACTCTCTTACTGGTTTCCTCGCCTCTGTGGATGTTCCAAGTAAAACATAAATACCTAAAAATTCAAAACTAGCACCCACATTCAATCTACAAGTTTGATCACATAAGTGATCTATATAATATGTATCATTCTAGATCTGGATTGCCTTACTCAAAACGATTGTTTTCAGCTCCATTCATTTACCTGTGAATTTCACAATTTAATAATTTTAAGATATCATAGTTTGGTATAGATGGTAGTTAAAAAGTGATGACCTTTGAAAGAGCCATACTTTGCTTTTCTGGGTGAAATAAGAATTCCTCACATTTGGAAATTAAATAATCCTTAACATATATAATATCTTGAGATTTAGAACAATATTTCAATGTTATCGTTCTTACTATTTTATTAACAGAGAACAGTACTGAAATGTTTTAGTTCGATGTAGATTAACTTTATAACCACAAAGTAGTCATTTGGATGGTATTGGGTGTTCAAGATAAGCTTCTATGATTCTGAAATATAAGTGGCTCTTCATCTACTCTCTAAGGAATAGAGTCTGGTGTTATGAAAATTATGATGAAATAGTTACCTTGGAGTTGAAAAATAGAATAGAAAACATTCCACTTTTGCCCTGGTTGAAGTCTTCTAAGACTGCCCATTTAAAGATTGTTGATGAGAGGGAAACATATTCTGTGCTTAAATAAGCCTGGAATTCTAACTTCAGACATAGTGTCCTACCAAGAAGTAGACCTTACAGTTTGTGAACATGAAGACTATATTGAACATGGTGATGATGTTGTTAGTATGATTAGTATGATTAGTATTAGTTAGTATGATTAGGTTGTTAGTGATGATTAGGTTAGTATTTGAGATTTACAAAAACAACTTTTAGGTCTTGGCAAGACATAATGAATAAAAGATAAAAGAAAAACTGTCTACAAAAGTCATGCTAAATACAGAAGTAATTATGCAGGTTACTTTGCTACAGGCAAATCCGGGATACCTAGATTGCTAGTGACACTATGTTTTAATCTGTTCCCCTCTTCTTATATCAAAAAGTAGATTGTATTTTTTCTTTTTCAATGTGTTGATTAACCAGACAATAATTTTTAAATTAGATATAATATCTATATTCCTCTATGGTTATTGACTAAGGAAAGCAGCAGATATTAAATTCAAAGAATATTTGTCTAACAGGAGAAATAATGAACATACTTGTTAGTATTTAGGCTCAATTGCTACAACTAATACATTTATAATGGCAACAGCTATAATAAGGTTGAAAATTGTTTCTCTGCTACTCAGAAGTTCAGAGACTGCCACAGTATTCTCCTTTTTACCAGAGAGCAGAATTCTTTTATGCCGTTGCTCTTAACATATGGTTTTTATATCCTACTTCTACTGCATCAACCATATCTAAGTCATTACCAATGGCAAAAGCAAGGTTATACACACACACACACACACACACACACACACACATACACACATACACACATATCATATTACAGTACAATGAGTAAGGGTGCTATCAGACAATTAAAAAATTGTTGTCATGAGCACACTCTTGATTTCTGCCTTTGGTTACCTAAACCTAATCTGCTAAAAAGCAATCAGCATGTGGTAAAATTTTTGTATATTAATAATTTCTATATACCATAATTATATGGTATATGGTCATCAACAAAATCAGAAAGGGCTTTAAAACAATATATTTAGTATTTGACAAGGACACCCAGACAGGACACCAGACAAATCCAGCACAATGCTGTAGGTTTAGATAAAAGAAGGAAGGGACATGGTGGAGATGCCTTTGTCAGTGAAATGCTTGCTTCTCAAGAATGAGAAGCTGAATTTAGGTCTCCAATACACCCCCAAAGAGTCAGGACTGGGAAGCACGGTTATAGACTCAGCTCTGGGAAGACAAAAGGACCCCTGATGTTTGATAGCCTGCCAGTCTCACTGAATTGGTGAATTTAGGTTCAAACAGAGATTCTGTCTCAAAAGACAAGATAGGGAACTGTTGAAGAAAATACCCAGTGTTAACCTCTGTCATCCAAAGGCACATACACACATATGTACACATACAGACATACACTCACACACACACACACACACACAGCACGCACGCATGAATGCATACACAAAAATATACATGCATGCATGCATACCCACAAATGTGTGTATATATATATACATATATATATATATATATATATATATGTTCTATATGTTTTTCTGGGTAGGATCTTTTATTACTTTCTGATTCTTGTCTTGTAGGGTGTTTTTCCGGAAATAATGATCACTTTTTGGCTATTCGCCAAAAGAAGAGTTGGAAGCCAGTGTTCATTTATGACCATTCACAAGACATTAAGAAGAGCCTGGAAATCGCTCAAGAGGCATATAAACATAACTACCACGCCCCTTCCGAAGTTCAAATAAGCAAACGTCACCAGATTATTAATTCAGCATTTCCTAGACCTGCATATGACCCGTCTCTTAATCTGTTGGCTGCGTCTGGTCAAGATCTTGAAATAGAAAATCTCCCAATTCCAGCAGCAAATGTGATTGTGGTGGTGAGTACCAAGTTAACCAGTGCTGATGCTGATCCCGATGCTGGTCCTGATGCTGGTCCTGATGCTGGTCCTGATGCTGGTCCTGATGCTGATAATGATGCTGAGGCTGATATTAGCACTAGTGCTGGTGTTCCTCTCTGTGGTTGATATTAGGAGAGAGAGAGAGAGAGAGAGAGAGAGAGAGAGAGAGAGAGAGAGAGAGAGAGAGAGAGAGACTAATTGTGAACACAGCATTAGGTCTCAATGGTTACTTACCAGGGAATTTCTCATTCTCTAATATGGTTTCTTTGCTACTCATTATTTCCCTCCCCCATGAAATAAGATTTTTCTATGTCATCTTCTCATAAACATTATATTAGGAAGGCTTTACTATTACAGCAGACTCTATCCTATATAGAGCTTCCTGCACTCTGTGTAATACATTCTTAAAGAATAGGCCTATTCTCAGCTTGTGTAAATAAGTAGCAATTGCCAAAGACTCTCTTGACTCAGGTTGTAACAAAAGAAGAGACAATTGAAACGGAGAGTTCTTATGGGGGAGGTTAATGAGTAGTGTTCTGTCACCGAAGTAAATAAAATTGGTTGGAAGGCAGTGATCTATAATAATATTCCTAATATCCCTGGGCACACATCAACATTTACATGATACCATAATCCCAGAAGAGTAGATAACCCAACTAGAGTTTCTCAAGCAGTGGAAGTCAAGTTGTGGATAGTCCCAGCCCTGCCTGTATTTTGATGCTAATTCCCCTTTCCTGTGAAGGGCTGCAGAGGAGGTGTGAGTCATTACACAGGTGATTTCTAGTGAACCTTCTGCCCATCTTAATTTGTAAAATAAAGGCCGTAGCCAGTGATTGGGCAGAGGAAGGGGAGGTGGAGATATAAAGGATGGTGGGAAGAGAGCAGGGGGGAGGACGACTGGAGGAAGACAATGGAGGAGGAAGACGATGGAGATACAGACAACAGAGACGATGACGACTGGGAAGGGAAGAGAGAGAGGGCGACAGAGGATGACTAGGAAGCGGGAGGTAGAAGGACAGACACAGGGTCTGGAAAACCCTCAAGTTATAAGGGTCTCATAGCTGGGGAACAGAGTAGTGTAGGGGTATCTGCCCAATCTAGGCTTACAGAATATATTCATAATTACTGAGTTGTGTTTTCATTGATTGGTCATATTTGGGTTGGAGATTTAAATATCTCCCACAACAGGAAATGTTATATGAAAATTCATTCTGTGGTTAAATCTCTTTGTATACCATGCTCTCTCTCTCTCTCTCTCTCTCTCTCTCTCTCTCTCTCTCTCTCTCACTGGTTTGAGGAGGATTGTCATGAGTTCAAAGCCAACCCAAGCCACATAACCAAATAAATCCTTCAAAATAGTTGATGATCACATGCTATGTACATGAACTGAAATGCCAAACTGTATTTAGAAATAATTTAAATTCTCATTTTAAAATTATAACAAAAGCAAGAAACTCATACAAATCTGCAATTAAATGTTTTTCAATTTCTGTTAAAATTCAAATAATTTGGTTTTGGGGCAAATGTAATTCAGTGAAACTGTTTATTTTGTGATAACTCTGATTCAAAGCATGATTAAATTCAACTGCATATATATATATATATATATATATATATATATATATATATGTGCATAAGTATACATATATATAGTCTTTTCCAATGATACTAAACAGGCATCCATTCATTGACATTATTAATAAATACTGAGTATTTATGTAACCCAGGTGTCATTTAGAGTTTCTAGAAAAAGAGATAAGTGAGACAGTGTTTGTTCATGCTTGAGAAATGACTGGGGGGGGGGGGAAGATGCCAGGAATTAAAATAAGGGAATAATAGGAGTCACAAAATGGGGACATAAGAAGAGCTCTTCATGTAGGTTGTTTGATCTCCTGTAAGACTGAAACAATTCTCTTTAAGACCAGCAGATGTTATGAGGGTGTCATGTGCCTGTCTGTGTGGTGAGGATGGGCGAGGCTAACGGTGTCTCTGTATCTGGCAACGGGCATCCTATGCTACTGGTTATTGTAGTTCCCTAGTCATCAAGGCCTATGTTACTATGTGTTACAGTTCAGGAAGGTTGGTCCATTTTCAATGTCACATACTATCTAGTTAATTTCATATTATAGACAATAGGAGTCATAAACTAGAAATTCTGAAAGGTCAGTTTACTTTTAGGCTATGCATAGTTTAGGGATTTATGAAGAAACAGGGATTTGTCTTTTGAGGGATGATGATACAGAGACAAAAAGTGCCTCTGCTGCATGAATTCTGTTTAACCTGTAGCAAAAATAACTTTAAAAATGAAATTTACCTAAGGTTGGAGTTGGAGATACTGTTTGGGGTTACTTAGACTCTTCCTTAAACATGAAAACAAGCAAAACAAACAAAACTCGGTTCCTAAGCAGCCTTTATAATATTTGCACCTCAGTGGGCACCTAACCAATTGTGTAAAACACCCATGGTTCATATATTAACTTTTGCAAGCTAATCGCAACCATGATTGCCAGAACTGTTTTATAGAACTACTTACATTGTTATGGGATGGTAATTTCCTGGGAAAACTGGAGAGATGAGGTTAGCCTTCATATAAATCGATAATGTGCCAATGCTTCTAAAAGCTTCTAAAATGCTTTAAAAATATGTGGCATGCATATAAAGATCAGCAGGTTGGTGGGGCATTATTTCCTGAAAAGCAATTTAAGAATAGATAATAGATAATGAAAAAATACACTCAGCAGCAGTTCGATGGCCCTGATAGTGTAACTTGTATGTTGTGCATGTAAGAGTTACACACATGTTTCTATGTTCAAAACACACCTAAATCAACACAATCGACACAAAGACACTGTGCACAAATACTGATCTGGCCCTTTTTTTCCTTAGGGAATATTTCAGTGATACTGATGAATTATTGTGTGGTTTTATACATGTAAGACGAGCAATATCCATACGTAGCAGTCCCTTTGACAGAGTAAATGCCTGAAATGCTTTATTATTGAATAGGTAAACGCTATACTAGACCTCTGAAATGTATATGTAACTTCTAAGAGTTCCCAGACAGATGGGAACAATTTCTATTTTGTCCTCTAATATTTAGTCCATGCTCCTATTACTGAGGTTATTGGCAATGGGGCTTATACTGAGAATTTTAAGAATGATGGGCACCTCCTCTCCTTCCAGATTTCTAATTAGGGCCACAAAAAAAAATTCCTAAAGAGATTTGTCCACAAACGAAATTTATCTATTTCCTTTTTCTTCTGTGATTGAGGAAAATCTATAGTGTATTTGTTCTATGGAAAGCACAACACGATGAATGTGTTTATCCCAACGAATGATAATTACGTTCTAGAAACTCCATGAAGATGCTGTTGTCTGAGCAAATACAACACAGAGGGGAAAATGGAGGGTTTCAAGTCAGTTCTGAGGTAAGACAGATAGGCTTTAGCCGAGCGTGCACTAGAAACTCTATGGCTCCCATCACTGGATTCCCAGGATGATTGTCAGGCCCCTGAGCAGTTCATCAGGAAGAAAGGACCACAGGGGCATGAGCGGCAAGTGGTGGGGTGGAGCCAGGCCCAGGCCTTTCCAGCTCTTCATGCATTATTGAGTCAACAGCAGTATAACCAGACAAAAGCCTGAGAACCTTGGGAGCAGGTGGATCTGTGGAGTGTGACACGGGCTACTATAGGTGAGTGAGAAGAGACGGGGCTAGGGCAGTCACAGCCTGCTTCACAGAGTGTGCCTGGTGTATAGAAGGGAAAAAACTTGGAGAAGCTAAAACAGTGAGACAGAAAAAGAAGGATATGTTGGGAGTTTTTCCTTACTACATTAAGACAGCGGTAAATCTCTGGAAGCCAAAACATTCTTTCCGTATGATGTCCTCATGAGATCCTTAGAATCCTGTGGTTTCTTTCTTGGTCTTTCTTACCCAGACCAGCACTTGGGTGGACTTTCTACAGTTTCTTTGAAAAAATATATTTTAATTATTCTTTGGACATTTCACATATATTTATACACATATATGTGTGTATGTGTATATATATGTATGTGTGAGTGCATGTGTGTATGCACACGCTAACACACATATTGTTTCTTGTGTCTACCCTGTCCTCTCCCTCCAGTTCTACTCTGGATGCCCATCCCCAAGTATCTTCATGACAACTTCTTGTCTTCTTTTCCACTTTCATCTTCAATTTTTAGCCCACTGAGTCCAATTAGTGGTACCCAGGTGCGTATGGCTCTGAGGCTATCCATGAGGGAGAGCATGGACAACTTATCAGTGGCCGTTCACCAAAAAGAAATGGCTTCCCCCACCCCACCCCAGAAGCCACCACCTACCAGTAGCTCTAGAATGAAGCCTCAGGAGCTGCCACTCACCATCACTATGTTTGAATTTTTAACTGTCCTGTTGTAGTATAGGTCTTGTGCAAGCAACTTCAGTTGCTATGGGTTTGTGTGTGTAACAGCCAGGTCAAATCCAGAGGACAAAATGTCTCGATACTTCTCTCCATGTTCCCTGAACCTGGATGGAGGGTGACAGATGACAACACTGTCAGCCACTTAGTCTCTGTACTTGGAAGACTTAAGTGTTTCCTCGTTGACTCATGAGGAGATGTTCCGCCATTTAATATAATGTTGGCTATAGGCATGCCGTTTGAAGCCTTTGTTATACTGGAATATGTTCCCTCTATTCCAAGTTTCTGTAGGCCTTTTAATATGAAAGGATGTTGCATTCTCCAAAAGCCGTTTGTTTCCACTGAGATAACAAAGTGATTTCTGTCCTTTACTCCACTTACGTATTTTGTAACAATCACTGATCAACGTGTATTGAACCGTCCCCACGTCTCAGCTGTGATCATGGTGAATGGCTTTTTGGATGTGTTCCTGGATTTGGTTTGCAAATATTTCATTGAAATTTTTTGTGCATTTAAATTCATCAAGGATGAATTTGTCTGTGATTTTCTTTTTTTCCTGTC